TACAGCTGTCCTAAACTGTAGGGAAAACCAAAAGTGGTATAGCACGTACCATATCAGTACCCCATGGAGTCTTAATATTGTGAAGTTTGGAATCTCCCAACATTTGGAGAGACTTTGGGGTGGCCTAGTCCTAAGCCACCATACCACACTTTTCACTACTACTCTCTCACCAGTGTGTGTGTAGAGTACTAGAGTGCTGTATACTCATACAAACACGTCTCAAAACCCCGTAACCGCTAATTAACGTCCCTATATATCTCATCTACTTTTTTTGGCGGCACCAAAACCGCTTCTTCCCATTCTCTCCACTCAACCTCCACAAACCAAATCTCTCTAGATTTTCTACTATTTAGCAGTTACGTTCTAAGACAAGTCAAGTGAAATTGGAGACATTTTAATGGGGAGTTCTGGCACCTTATTTTCCTTGTCTAGCCTCATGTGTGAAGAAGGTGAAGCTAGCTTCTTTGAGGACCAAGATGAGATTGAAAACCCTGGCATTGAATATCTTGATAACCCTTGTTTCGTTTTGGAGGATGAAGAGGAATACATTGAGTATTTGTTCAGACAAGAAACGAGATTTGGATCCCAGAATCATCATTTTTTGGCCTCTGATGATCACTCAAACAGACACTGGTTGAGGAGTGCCCGTGTGGATGCCATTGACTGGATTTTCAATGTTAGTTTTCAATGTTACTTGTCACCGTGCTTGCTTAATTTGCTTTTGCTTGTTCTGCTGTTGAAAGTTGAAACTTTTTTTTTTGTTGTTGTTGATTATTCAGACACAAGCAAAATTTGGGTTCAAAGTTGAGACGGCCTATTTATCAGTGACTTACTTTGATCGGTTTCTTTCAAAGCGATCCATCGATGTAAGCTTTAACATAATTTCACAATTCCAATCCTTTGGTTCAGATCGTGTTGATTTTACCTTTCCTTTTATATTTTACTTAATTTCTGGAATGATCGCAGGAATCAAGACCTTGGGCTATTCGGTTATTATCTGTGGCATGTTTATCTCTAGCAGCAAAGATGGAAGAACAAAATGTGCCACCTTTATCTGAGTATCCAATAGAAGAATATCGCTTTGAGAACAAAGTAATTAAGAACATGGAACTGATGATTTTGAGTACCTTGGAATGGAAAATGGGATCAGCAACTCCTTTTGCCTATTTGCATTACTTTGTCGGCAAGTTCTGCCCTGGATCCAAACCACAAACAATAATCACTAAAGCCATTGAACATATTGTGGCCATGGTCAAAGGTGATTTTGGATAATGCAATTCCCTTTTGAAATAAATAATCATTAATTATTATCAAGATTATATCTGAAAGTGAGTCTTTTTTGTGCAGATGTTAATTTGATGGATCAACGACCATCTATAATAGCCTCGGCTTCCATATTGGCAGCTTTTGATGCTACATTAACAAGAAATGCAATGGATTTTCGAATAAGTGTGATCTCATCGTGGGGAAATATAGAAAGTGTGAGTTTTTTACAAAGCATTCACGAATGTTAATTATGTCTTGTTATTCGGATGATAATTGAAAGAACATATATAACACAATTTGATGATGTTTGTGTGACATTCATATGGAACAGGGACATGTGTTTTTCTGTTACAATCTAATACAGGAAAAGAAGAAAAGCAAAGTTAAGACCCCTTGTTCGAATTTATTATCTACCCCATCGGGCTCCACGTGTGTTCTTGAGAATCAATCTGACACTTCTACGGGTGCTAAGAGAAAACTTAGTTTTGAGGACAGTGAAAATTGTGCGGGACAACAAAAGCTACATCGGCCTTAGCTTGCTGCACCTCGCAGAGTTTGTGATATCTATAATACAGGGAAAATTGATTGGTATTTACTGATTGATTGGATTATAGGATATTTTTTTCCTACTGAAAAAATTATTCTTGTTAGTTATAGCCTTATAGGTCTAATGAGTGTCATCCACCATTTTGTGGAATGATTTGGAATTGATGATTGGGGTTTTATTTCCCGGTACCCAACAAAAAGTTTCCGCAGAGTGACAACAAAGAAGATAGAGAAAAAAAAAGGAAGAGTAAATAAATAAATAAAAAAGTGGTTAGCTACTTAGCTTTAAGGAGGGTGAAATGAAAAATGAGTGAAAGCTATATTGAGGACTACTTGTCCATAGTGAGTTTGGGCAGTGTTTGCTTTCATGAGCTGCTCCTATTACATTTCTACTTTTTTCAAGTGCATTTTTTCTTTCACTTTATTTTTTGTTGTGATGGGAATTATTATATTTTTATGTATGTATACGATGATGGCAAATTGGCAATAGCAACCCTACTTTGATAGGGAGCTTGGGATGCTTTGTATGTCTTTCGAAAGGGTGAAAGCCGTGCAGAATGGGGAATTGGTTTTGTTTTGTTTGATTTGATGTATCTGTGTAGCATTTGGGTTGGGCCATTGATAAAGGTTGTAAAAGTTGAACGTGATTATGTGTTTGCTTGGGACGTGGGAGGCTCCTTTTCAGGAGAACTGGGAAACTTTCCTTTAACCGTTACTTCTTGTACTATCATTTATTGATATTATTACACTTACAACCCTATAAATGGTAGGGGTCACTGCCAGTACCACTCTGCCAGTACTTGCTTAAATAATAATCTAATTCATGAAAGATTAACTGTATGTAATGGTTAAATTAAAGGAGACACATGGCTTAGATATACATCTTAAACATGTTTAATATGTCAAAATTTACTGGATTATAAAAACAAATTATTTGAGTAAATTAAATGCTGTCAAATTTTAAACCAGTGTAGTACTAACCTACTACACCCAAGAAAAAAAAAGGTGTTATTATAGTGCTATTTCGTTGAGATATCATATGCTTTCTTATGTGTTTTATTAATCTTTTGGTTTTAAAAAAGTTTTTTAAAAAAAAGTACTAAAATGTGTTTGATTACGTGATACAGAATAATGCATAGTATTGAACCAATACCATTGTTGCATTCAATTACAAACATTACACTCACCCGCTATGTTTTAAACAAAAAGAAATTAAAGAGATTAGTGTGTTTCGATTCGATTTAGGTAGATCATGGTTTCCATGAACATTACCAGACATATTCTCAATTCGAAACTTGAACACTCTCTGGGGAGGGGAAAAAAGGAAGAAAAAAAAACGCAAAAGTGAGAGTGCTGTAAATTTGAGGAATAGCGAGAATACATATTACTCGTACTGGTATATATATGTCCCTTCCAAAAAAAATATACTATTGTATAAATTTTATGTTTGTTATATGAAGAAACCATATTTTGATAAATCGATTCAATATATATTTTCTTTGCGTGGAATTAAGAATACTGTGGATTGTTATTATCATCATGATTGGAAATTATTAATGATTTCCTTCAAGAAACTCAACTATGAAATGGGTTTCAAAAAAAAAAATGTCTCGAAAATAATATCTAAAAAATATGCATGACAGCTATGAAATAATATCTAAATGTGGACAAATTAAGAAATATCGTTAGCTGTTAAGGTACACATTTTGGTTGAAACAAGGATAATATTTATACAGTTGCACAATATTTTCATCTTATTTTACCTTTTTGTTAAATCACTTTCTGTACGGACATAGCATTACATATCACATATTTTTCTTTTGCTATCTCTTTCGTGCTTCCATCATCTACACCCTCAAAATATGGTGCAATCGGGCCCAATCTATCGTAATTCAAGAAATAAGAAATGTTGTTCTGTTTTGTTTGGTTTAGGGGGTGGAGGGAGGGATATGGAAGATAAGATTAATGGGAATTTGGTGTCAGAATCTGAATCACTTGTGCGTTGTGGGTTGCATTGCACACTTATCCAGTCTGGCATGGACCTTGTATTTTGCCGTGAACAAATTACCGTGACTCAGTACCTTATTGTTCCTTGGTTCACATGGAGACTGAAGAAGTGATGGAGATTCTTTTATAAGCCCTGCAAATTCTTGGTTAAATCTTGCAGTTAAAATTTCAGATGTGGTCGGATTGACGTCAAGTACTGACACATAAAAACTCTGTCATAACAGAATTCACATGGCCAATGATAGCTAAATAATTTATAAGCACCAACACACTGAAGAGTGAATGATAAAATCTTCTTTGCATGGCATGAACTTCAAAACATTCCTACACCAAACAAGTACAATTCCATTTTTCTTCACAGACTATAGAGTTCACTTCATACAGTTGCTACTTAGGTGCATATATAACAATGATGATGATAATTCACCATAATTAATGTCATGCCGGGTGGTGTCAGTTATTAAAATTTTACTGTGTGATGTGTCACAATATATAGTGCAATGTTGTCTCGCTAGTTATGGAGCAAATTAAGGAGATTGATGTAAACATACTTAGTTCAACATTGTCGATGATAAAGACTATGAGTATGACATTGGATGTCACACGTTTTAAAGTCCAAATGCTTCCATTTACATAACTGTCACGGATTGGGTTGCAGAGACATGTTTGTTGGACCACTGAAACATTTACATCACACGGCTGAAGGCTTTTTTGCTCTTGTTCTTATGCATGTCATAAGAAAAACGTTATTGTCATCTTTTACTTCCTTTTTTTAATTGGACAAAAATTAATTCGTCTCATTTGAGTGATGAATGACTTGAGGACAAAATCAGCTTAAAAGCGTATGGTAGAGAGGAGGGACCAAATTCAATATTTTAACCTCAAAATGACAATATATACTGCATACAAACACGTTGTTTGTCTCGTTGAGTGTCTCAGGTATCTTCATTCCTCAATTTCCTTTTCCCTCCCAAAAGGAGGAAATGTAAACAATGATCTGGCATTTAAAAAGCATACATAAATAAAGTGCAAGACAAAGTAATGTGACATATCTTTTCTAAACGCATTATTTACCTAAGCTTCTTTTTTTCTTGATAAAATTTACCTACACCATGTTGAATGATGATGATTGATTTAACAGAAATTAGCAGCCTATCGTGTTCACCCACAGCTGAGATAGGGTAATGCCTGTGCAGAATGGTTGGCAAAGTTTGGATCTCACTCTGTTACCAGTTTTAGGTTCACGAAGTTTGTACATACTTGTAAGAATAAACTTCTTTCCTAAATAATTCTTAGGAGAAGAAAATGAATAAATAAATAAAAAGATAAATTATACTTGCATCCTTTGTATTTTTCCAAGATTGCAAACTTGCACTCAATATTTTTTCGCTATTTAAACCTATATTAAGACTCATAAAAGTTAAAAATATGTTATATCTATATTTCTTCTTTTAGTGAGAACTTGTAAAAGTTAAAAAAATGTTACACTCGTATCTTTAGGTTCTCCTTCTTTTATGGAGTCTTCCTCAAACTCCAACACCACCTCATCTTCCTCCTCTTCTTCCCCCTGTAACACTTTGCTTATATACACCAATTGTCCCCAAAGTCTCGACCACATTTGCTCTCAAACCAAGTCAACCTCCTCTAACAATAGCCGCATCCTTGTGCCACAACCATGCAACCATTGCGTCATGCAGTAATAACATAGTGAAGTTGTGTGAGAGATGTAGTAATTAACAACAAAATAAGATGAAGAAAACGGAAGTAGATGCTAATCCTAGTGATATGTATTTGGGAAGTATACCAATTGTAGTAGTAAAGAGATAAAAGTTCAAGTTTTCGAATCACAAAGACTTAGGTTTATAATTGTTTAATACAATACTAGTACTAAACAGATAAATTAAAAAGTAATTGACTTTAATCATGTAAAGAATATTTAATTGCATAAATGGAAAGAAAACAATAATTTGGATGAATTTAATATATAATAGAAGTCGTTGGAAATTGATTCACTAATTTTTTCTACATAATTGACTTTAATCATGCAAATGAATATTTAAGTGCAGAAATTAAAAGAAAAGAATAATTTGGATTAATTTAATATATAATAAAAGTAATAAGAGATTAATTTACTAATTTTTCTTATATAAAATTCTATCAATTTTTTATTCAATTTTGTAATTAAACAGTTAATTTAACAGCTCATGCATGTATTTGAACCCTAGTTCTTTAGGTGATAAATTTTAGATTGTTTAAGGAAAAACTCAATTCTTTGATAATTTTTGTTAAACACATATATTAAGGTTAGAGACCAAAAGTCGACCGATGAAGTTTATTTTGATTTCTTGGTAATTAATGTTATTAATATTTTCTCCAAATCATAGTTTTAAAAAGGTTTTCCAACCTTAATTAATTATGTGAAATTATGCATTGAGTATCAAACCAAAATTGACATTAAGAATAAAAAAATAATTAATTGAATAATATATTTTATTGAATGAAAAACAAGAATAATTTACATAGTTCTAATAACTATCTCAATCCTCAACAATAAAGAACTTAACTCCTCGTAATTAAGGATTACACAATAATATATTGACCTTGTAATAATCCATGCTTGGAATATTGCTTTCACCGAACTATCTAATCTCCCTAAAACTATGTATCTCTAAAATTTTGAATCTCCTCTACATCTACAAATCCTAACTTTATAAAATGAATTTAGTTGGGCTTGGGTTTGATTAGCTTGCTCAGATCACCTTAAATTTAATATCGCTCAAAATTTTGATCATTTTATGCGATAAATACCTTAAATTAAATTTCGTTTGATGTTAATTAATTAATAATAAAAGTTGATTCTCATCCGAAAAATATTACTCTCTTGTTGGATTTTTTTTTGTTCCAACTGTTGGACTTGAGATCGGGCTACTGTTGTGAAGGTCTAGGTAGCCCAAAGGCTTGAAAAATCCAAGGTCCATGATATATACACCTCCTTTTTTTTTTTACAAGTATACCTCCTTTTAAAAAAAAATAATTTTTTAAAATATTCCTAATTTTTTTTAAAAATTTTAATTTTACATTCACAACATTTAATTTTAGTACTTTTTTTTCACACATCATTCCTCTTTTTTTCAATTTTTACATGCACCTTTTTTACCTTTTTTTCACCCCACCTATTTTGATAGCATGTGAAAACTAAAAGAAAAAAAAAAGTGTGTGAAATAAAAAAAGAAAGTAAAAAATTAAAAGTTGGAGATGTAAAATTTAAAAACTCAAAAAAATAATATTTTATAATTTAAAAATAAAAATAACAGAGGTGTACTTATAAAAGAAAAAAGAAAAAAGAAGGTGTATATATCATGAGCCAAAATCCAATAAGGCGTGTCAGGAATGAAGTTTGGTTCAGGCCTTTTGGGAATTTCAGAAAAGGGCCAAGCCCAATGAATACGAGAATTTGAAAATGAAAATTTTCCCTCTCCTCTGCTATCTATCCTACTGTCTCGGTGAAATGTGAAGGTGAGTGGAGTGGTGGTGTTACAGTCGCGATGGAGAAGGGGCTTCGTTCGTCTCTGCTATCCTCAGCGCAAGAGTTCATATCCTTGGCCACAAAACAAAGCCTCAAGTCTTCAAAATCCTCATTGAAAACCCTAATCCACAACATTAAACCCTCTTCCCCTCTCTGCTCTTCTCTCCCTTCCACGCTCTCCGACTCCATCTCCGCCGCAGTCCGATCTTTCCAGAACCTTCTGGAACCAAACGCCGCCACGAACCTCGGCTCCCCCCGCACCCCTCCCTCCAAGCGCCCCCGACGCTCCTCGCGCCGCTCCGAGCCCGAACCAGTCGACGACAGACACGAACTTCTCGCGCGCCTCGAAATTCTCACGCATCTCGCGCTTCTCTGCGCTTCGCACCCGAGGAAGCCCTTCTCCCTCGCCGATCTGCTTCCCGGCGTTCAGGCGCTGCACGACAGCTTAATCGTCTTCGAGGCCGAAACGGCGCTGTCGTCGGCGATTGAGGGTTTGTGCGAAGAATGGTGGAAGGAGAATTTGGCGGGAAGGGAGACATTGATCTCGCAGAGCCTCCCTTTCCTTCTGTCGAGGTCGCTGACCCTGAAGAGGAAGGTGGACGTGCACAGGGTTTGCGTGCTTCGCGAGGCGTTTGCGCTTTTCGATTTCGACGACGAGAGCATCGAGGATTTGAAGCTGTTGTTGGTTCGGTGTGTGATTTCTCCGCTGTATTTGAAGACGGAGGATGGGAGGCGGTTTCTTTCGTTTGTGTTTGGGCTGAGTGATCAACTTGGGAAGGAAATTTTGGCCATGATTCGGTCGCAAATTCCGTTTGGGAGGAAGTCGATGCTGGAGGCTTATGGGGATATTCTGTTTCGAGCATGGAAAGCTGTGCAAGGGGATTCGAGGAGTCACATTGAGAATGGGTTCTTGCAGGATTTGATTGAGGCTGCCATACATGCTGGTTCTGGAGCTTTTGCTTCGTATATTAGGAGGGTTTTGGGAGCATTTATTAACCAGAGGACTACTGATGGGGTTGAGAAGATGCTTTATCGACTCGCGGAACCTGTCATATTTAGGTCTCTCCAGGTAAATGCATCATAGCTTGGCCCCTTGTTGTATATTGAATATTATTAGGATGCTAGAATCAGTAGCCAAAGTGAAAGGGTTAGGATGGTGTTGTATGAGTTCTCTTGTAGTAGGTGGGTTTCCACAACACTATATTTACCACACAGTCTCTAGCCTGTGTAGATGTAAAATAGCCAGCATATGACTTTCTAACGTACCATAGTGTTTGATTGGAGGGGAATGGAAGGGATGGGTTTTTTTTTTATTTTGTAGAAATACCTTGGTTTTTGCCTCAACTCAAATATTGTGAGGGATTTGGAGAGGAGGGGGAATGCTATGTTTGTGAATTGTGTTAACTAAATTATCTTAGTCTGAACATTAAAACCTAATGATTGTATTTGTCTATTTTTAGTGTATAATATAGTAAATTATTTTATTTTCCCAACTCTCTCCTTGCAAACAAAACAAGGGATGCTTCCTCTCTCCTTCCATTAATTAAAGTTCTTTTCCTCCATTGCCCTCATTTGAACCAAACAGATTTTGGGGCTGTTAGACCAATTTATTTGATGCTGCTCATATAAATCAAAAGGATCCTTTTATAATGGGGTTTCTCGAAAAGCATTTTATTAGAGTTGCAAATTGCAATAACTGTTAATCAGTAGAGGCAGTGACATGACTGATATCTCCGTGTTCAGAATTTTACTCTGCCTTTTTTTTAATAGGCTGCAAACTCAAATGTTCGTCAAAATGCTTTGCATCTACTTTTGGACATGTTCCCCCTTGAAGATCCTGATGCCACAAAAGAGGAGAAAGATACGTTGCTTGATAAGCAGTTCTTTTTATTAGAAAAGCTACTTACGGATGATTGTCCGGAAGTGAGAATGATTGCTGTTGAGGGTTCTTGTCGTGTCCTTCATCTGTTTTGGGAAGTTATTCCTTCACCAATCATTACAAAGATGATAACAAAAGTAATTGGTGATATGTCTCATGATGTATGCAATGAGGTCAGGCTTTCCACGCTGAATGGCATCATTTATTTGCTTGGAAATCCTCACTCTCATGAAATCCTTAAGGTACTCTTGACAAGACTGCGACACCTAATGCTGGATAAGGTCCTTACAGTACGAGTTGCTGCAGTGGATCTCTTACTCCATCTAAAGGATGTTAGAAATTTTCAGTTTAACAAGGTACACATCCTTATAATTAGAATTGTTTAAGAAAGTCCTGTGTTAATGTTTATCTTAATAGTATTTATTCTGACTGACCTGTTCTTCTGTTTGTTATATAGGTGGTGGAGCTAGATTTGCTATTATCTGCGCTTGCTAGTGATCAACCTCCTGTGGCTCAGAAGATAACAAAATTACTTCTACCTTCATACTTTCCCTCAAAGATACCCATTGAGGAGGCATGTAATCGCTGCATTACACTTGTAAAAAGGGCTCCAATGGCTGGTGCAAGATTTTGCCAGTTTGCTATCTTGGAAGGAGCTGCTAAATCTCATCTTATGGAGCTGGTCAAAGTATTCCTGAGTTTGATTTTGTCACCAGATAAGCTAGATGCAAATCAAATTGAGGGTTTCCTTGTTGCTACTAGCTATGTTTGTGAGAACTTAGCGTGTGAACCATGCTATATAAATGCTCTCAGGGAGTTACTTGATGGAGAGAAAGTGAGAGGTTTACTAACTGTGGCATCTAAAGGCCAAGCTCAATCTTCTTTATTCAACATTGTCTCCACTGTTTGTCCAGATGATGTTGATGGACTTCTTGAAGAATGCACGAGTGTTGTCACTAACTGCACTGGTTTACCTGAGGATGTTGATCGACAATCTAAAATGAGGTCTGCACATAAATTATTGCTTTCACTGGGCGGTTTTGATGACATGTTTGAAGCCTTAACAGCCTTCTTGCACAAGTCTGCCTTTCGTTGCCACATTAAATTTGGTGCAGACATGCCATCCCATAGTGTTCCATTAGCTAAAAGAAAGAAATCTAAATCCTCTGGAAAATTTTCAATTAAATCAAAGATAATTAACAGAAAACAATCTTTTGAGGATGATTATTTAGTAGCTGTTGGGATAGCATGGCAAGTTAGAGATTTGCTTCTGCAAGAAGATACTAGAAAAGCTATTTTGAAGTCTCAGAGTTTAGAAATGTTATTTTTTTCTCTTAAGGTGATTTCTGAGGTCAGCATTGTGCATTCTGGGAACTGTGAATACATGGACACATCTCCTGTTATGGCATATACAGCCCTTGCTCTGCAAATGACTGTTGATAAGGTTGGCAAAAATGGTATACAAAATGGTGATACAAAGAGGAAGAAAACTAAGATTGATTCTTCTACATCATTGTCAGAGGCAAGTATAATATTTGCACTTTTTTTTTTTTTTTAATATTTCCCTGTTTAAAATTTATCTACCTTAACCTGACTTTCTTGCATCTCTGTTGCTCTTAGTTTTTATTTTTTTGTGTTTTTGAAATAATTTTATGCATTTTCATTGCCTCGTACATTATTGTCAATGATATTCTTTTCTAATTTATGAAACAAATTTGTATTTATACATAGAAAAAAAAATTGCATTTGCTTGACTTAAGATGCTTGCCTCTCATTTCTTTGGATTCTATTTTATAATAATTGCATATTATGAAATTAGAATCAAAAGCAGAAGATATATGTCACCAAAGTAATGTTTGACTTGGAATGACCAGTTATTGACTTAATAGGAGCACTGGGTCACCAAGTGATTGGTCAGATCAGTGAATCATTGGTCTAATCGCATGAAGTAGTATATATTAACAAGATTTTAAAACATGTATAACTTATAAACTTCTATCATTAAAAAATTATTGAAAGTTCATATTATACCACAAAAAATCTGGAAAAAAATCATAACATACTGATTGAGTTAGGAAGCTAGTGGATCATCAGTTTGTCCGAGTCCTTGATTCCGTAACATTTTTTATCCAACCAGTTTAGACCGCATTGACTGACTGATGTAAGCCAGTTTTAATAACACTGCCTTCCGCTCTATTGGAATTTATGGCTATCATACATTAACCTGATTGATTTTAGTCACAGCTTGCCTGATTTGATTACCCTTTATCTGATAAAAAATATTTTAAGCAGAATATCTTGGAGCTGACAATAGAGCATGTGCTCAGCTGTTTAGAAAAACTATTTGGAGCAGATGACATCATGAAAAATCACGATACGGATTCATGTAAGTTGCAGCCTACCAATAGAACAAATCAAAATCAAAATTCCACACAAAGGCGTAGGCTATCTCCTACAGGTGCATGTCGCACAAGTAACCGTGGTGAGTAAATACATGTACTGTTTCAGGTCTGATAATGGATTGCGTTGCTTTGACGGTTTGACCAAATTTAAGTAACTCAAGCACACCGGGAAAAAGTAAAAAATGTAGCTCAAGCACAATACCGGAAGTATTTCAATCGATTGCGACTCTAAATCAACCTTTAGATTAAAATAAATTGATTTAGTCTATTCACATATTTCTTATACTTATTTAGTTCTAATTGCTCTCGTCAGATTTTTTCTATTTTGATCATCATAAAAGAATATCGCACTCTAAATTCTTTATAAAAGAATATCACACTAAACCCTAAACTATTATTGTTAGTAGCAAAAATCGAGATTCTAGACAGTGATATGCCACAGATGGAGGAAAATATTTCAATTTGTTATTCTGAACTGTGAGGGCTTATATATTATCCCAAAATAAAAAACAAATATAGGTTTTTTCATAAATGTTTAGAGGCTCATTTTGCATTTAAAATTATATGCAGGTCATTTGAGAAGACTCCTGCTTTTTGTTTATTAAGGACTAAGGGCTTGATTGATTTCTATTTTCTGAAACTGCTTTAGTTTTCAAAATCATGAATAAATTTCTGCAAAATCAGCACATGTGCACCATGTCTGGATCAGGTTCCAGTGTTCACCCACACCAAGCTCACTCCTAATGTGACCCACACCCTTGAACTAGGATCACAGTACAGAAGGAGGATGAGGAAACATCTCCAATGTTTTTAAATTGAGGTTGCAGTTGTTGTGATGCAGATTGTGGCTTGAAGTTATATGTTTGTACCGAACATAAAAAAGAATTGGAAAACAATAAAAATCAATCAAACTCTTTAAATTATTCACTTTGCATTCCCTTTCCCCTTGCCTTGATTGCATCACATAGCTTCCCAGCAGCCGAACTAGTCATCATTAGTTACTTCCCTCCCTCCTTCAACATCTCACATGATTTCACCCATTGGAATATAAGATTGAAGTTTGAATTTTTGTTTATTTTTTGTCAAAAGAAGTGTAATAGAACAGTGCTGTAGATGTGTTGAGGCATTTGTTGTAATTAAAATTCTCATTGCGTTTTTGGATAGTTGTTGTTATGAGTAGCCGTGCAGCTGCAACAATGCAACCGTAACAAATGTGGTTTGCAATTTAGAACCATGACCTCTTCTAAGTGTTTCTGTTTTTTGGCTTTTTAAACACTTGTTTTGGAATCAGATTTCAAAGCTTAATAGATTTGGAACAAAAAATTGATTTCTCAAAAGTGTAGAATTATTTTAGACAATAGTTTTTTAAACCAAAAAATTAGAAGGAAACAAAAAAGACCCTAAATATTTGCTTTATGTACATTTTATGATTATTATTTTCAATCTTTTCATCGTATGCTTGGCTAGGAACAAACTTTGTATATAGTAGTTGTGTTCTGCCATAGTTGCTATCTGATTAAAACATTGGATATATGCCTGCTTTGACTTTGTATATTTCTGCCATCTGTGACTAATTGTCTAAAGCATATGCATAGGGTTTATATACGATGAAGCCAAACAAGTATTCTGTATGGTAAAGATGCTTACTGCTGTTCTCAAGTTCATGGCTGACACCACTGCTATGTGCTTTGCTCCTCACAATCATGGATTATTCTTAAATTACACATCAAAAAGTGTGCAACATATCGTATCATTGTTGGACAAGCTATATCATAGCCAAATTCAATTTAAGGACGAGGATAAAAGAAATATTATTTTTTGCCTGAAAAGCTCTTTCACGTATGCAGCAAAAATTCTCAATCAGATACTTACAGAGACTAGTGGATCCTCAATAACTCCACCAAAAACTTTTACTCTTGCCAATAACTTGCTTGATTTAATCATTGCAATTGAATCATGCATGGGCTCTAGTTATGCATTGCGTCTTGTTGCAACAGCAAAGCCATGGCTACCTGATGTGCTTCTGGCGTTGGGATCTACAAGTATTTTAAAACATACCGACTGTGGTGAGGAACATTCGACTGCATCTGAACAAATGAAGTTACATTTTCCAAGATGGCCCTTGATCATAGCCAAGACTGAGCTCTGCAACGTAAATGAAGCTGAAGAAGATGATGAATGTTCTCTACCAGAGAAATTCTCAGCATTCAATAAGCTTCTGGCAATGCTGATTATATTACTGAAAAAAAATCCCAGTATAATGGATGCAGTTGGTGTTATATTCATGATTTCTTCACTTGTCGGGCTAGAAAAGAAGGACTTTGGACTAGCATTAGGACTCTTGCGGTTTGTATGTTTTAAGTTGTTTAAGCATGATGACAAGGATTGGGGTGACATGATGCTGTCTTCCCTGCAAGAAATCTTTCCCAAGATAGAGAGGGAAATTGCAGAAGAGGATGATGAAGATGAGCTATGGAAATTGACATGCACAAAGGAGTTGATCGAACCTCTTTGGATGTATCATCTGTATGAAACTGGAAAGGTCAGCTTGGCTGATGACTAGAAATCGTTATTGGTTTTTTTTTTTTTTTGTAGGAATTTGAAAATATCATTTATGAAGCCTTTAGATGCTTGATGTACATACTTCTACGATTGGCAACGTTAAAACGATAGTTTGCTAAGACGTTCCTCCTATCCTGTGAATTGTACAGAAATTTATATCTTAAAAAATGCTTGTTTTTAAAACATGTTTCATTAATTCACTAAGAAGTATCCGCAATAAGGAAAGATTGAGGTTCTTGTTTGGTATTGCAGTTTTCCATGTCTCGGTGAATTGAACTGACGCTACAGGACTGGGCTCGTGGAAATGGTGCTTTTAAAATAACGGAAAGGGAAATTTAGGATTATAATTTATATGGAACAAAAAAACAAATGGGATATGTAAATAAAAATTGAGATAATCTAAGTGTAATTTACAAACATGACATATCATTATACTGGCCTAGAAAATAAACAACTAATAAATGAAATGGTTAATGGCAGTTTGTCAAACAGCTCCGAGACTCCGGTAATATACTTCGCTGCTCAATTTGTCATTCCAACCTAAGAAAGCCTCGAGCAATACTAGACTAGTTAGGGAATGTACAGGAATAAAGGGCCTTGAAGCTATGTAACAAATAACAAGATAACCGATTATTGATTTTGAGGAAGAGTGATTCACGTGATTCAAACGGGGATCTTCTTTAAGCGAGCAGCAATAGGCATGCCCAAAAATCCAACGAATAAGCAAAAGAACCACTGTGTCAGGGTGAGAGGTGTTGTATTTGCAAAGGTTCCCAAGTACTCCACTATTATGATTTGGAAGAAAACAGTAGCACTGATCACCCCCACGAAAACATAATTATCCAATATGCCTTTAAAAACGTTTATTTTCTCCATTTCACGTGAATTTATCTCATTGAATACCTGCAAAACCAAATCAACCCATATCCTGTAAGACACTTTTATACAAATATCATACATACACTTTGAATTTAATCTTTTCAGTTATAAATATTCCGAAGCAAATTGTCAACTTTTCAGAAAATTTACCTGACAGAACACAAAGGTGTTGAAAATAAGTGTGTTTAAGACCAGATCCGAATCGGGGCCGTCAAGTAAAAAGATTGATTTTCCTCTTGACTGAAGAAACCATATAACCATAAATTGATACAACGATTGTCCTAAGATGTTCCTCCACATAACGTTGGTGATGAAATTCCCCTTCCTTCCAACAGGTGAACGTTTCATTAAATCATCATTTGGAGGTTCGGTAGCAAGCGCAAGTGCTCCCAGTGTATCCATTATCATGTTCACCCACAAAAGTTGAACAGCTGTGAGTGGTGCAGTTCCTGGACAGAGAAAACGCATGTAAGATCATAATAACAAAAAGTGTTTCTATAACCTGTCATGCAGTCTGGTGTCAAGTTCATAGGTAACAAAATTAAGCTAATATTCTAACCTGTTAAGCAGGCCGATGTGAAGTTCACTATTAATGCAACCACATTAACTGTCAGCTGAAACTGTACGAATTTCTGAATATTTATGTAAACTGAACGTCCCCATTTGGCCACTGTTACTATCGTGGAGAAGTTATCATCCAGAATTATGACATCTGCACTTTCTTTTGCAACCTGTACATATATTATGAAATAAGTTTGCATTTGAAATTTAAGAGTTAAATGACTAAAATGTAGAGTGAGTGGTTCACAAAGGGAAACATTGCATAGCATTGCGCTCACCTCAGTTCCAGCAATACCCATTGCAAGTCCAATGTCAGCTTCATGAAGGGCCGGGGCATCATTAGTTCCATCACCTGTTACAGCTACCACTTCCCCAAACGTGGTACGCAGGTGTTTCACCAACATGTGTTTGTCTAAAGGTGAGGATCGAGCCATAACCTAAAAGGAATCAAACACCAATGTTAGTGAAAGTATAAAGTATCAACCATAAATCATGTCATGTGTATGATTAAGTAGGACTCAAGAATCAAAATATAATGCTTATAGAAGCTATGTGGCACCTGAATTTTTGGAATCAATTCAAGCAATTCTTTTTCACTCTTCTCTCTAAACTCTGGACCTTCAATGGCTATGCCATCATCAGTTAAAATCCCACACTCCCTGGCTATGGCCTTTGCAGTATTGATGTTGTCCCCAGTAACCATTCTTACTGTTATTCCAGCTGAACGACATTCTGCCACAGATTCCTTAACACCAGGACGAACAGGATCTTTGATACCAACAACCCCTATACAAGTATATCCAGAAACAGGAATAGAGCCTTCAGCAGAGAACCCGTTTTCCAATTCCACATAGGCAAGGCATAGAGTTCTAAGTGCCTCACTTGCAAACTGGTTTATTGTAGCCTTAAGATGGTTAGTTGATTCTTCGTCAAGTGGCACAACCTCACCATTTGAGTTGAGCACTTTGTCACAAGAAGCCAGAACTATTTCCGATGCACCTTTACAGTGGGCTCTTAAGCCTCCACCAGGGAGCTCCACCACCACACTCATTTTCTTCTTAGTAGAATTGAATGGCTCAACTTTAACAAGTTTACATGCTTGTCGCTCTTTTTGAAAATCTCCACCTAAAGACAAACCAAACTCCAATATTGCAGCCTCGGTTGGAGTTCCTAAAATCTCATGTTTTCCATTTTGGTTAATCACGACCTCTCCTCCTGTATTGTTGAATATTGACTGTAGCAGAAGTTTCACAGCAGATTCTGGGAGTTCAGAGCACAAACTAGAAGCCTTGTTGTTCACTTCCTTGCTGTTCATGCAAAAGCATGTTTTAACAACAGTCATGTGATTGGTTGTTAGTGTCCCAGTCTTGTCACTACATATAGTTGTGGCTGATCCCATTGTCTCACATGCTGCCAAATGTCTCACAAGGGCTTTGTCATTCATCATTTTTTTCATAGCAAATGCAAGGCTCAGTGTAACTGCTAATGGTAGCCCTTCTGGAACAGCAACAACAACTATGGTAACTGCAACTGCAAAGAACTCTAACAGCTCCAACGCATCATCCCCTGTCCAGGTCCTTAAGCTTCCTTGTTGGAGTTTTTGGCTTATGAGTCCATGCACGAGAACTGCAAAAGTAACCACGGCAAAGAATAGTCCTATCTTCCCAATAATGGTTGCCACACCATTCAATTTCACCTGTAATGGGGTCTCATCATCTCCACCTTCACTGAGAGTAGCCATCAACTTACCCCATTGAGTCCTCATGCCAACACTGGTAACCAACATCTTGCATGATCCATCTTGGACCTTGGTTCCAGAAAGAAGAAATGGATTTTCAGAATTCACAATCACTGGCTCACTCTCTCCTGTTAAACTTGATTCATCAATCAACACAGAAAATCCTGAGACAAATAGTCCATCAGCAGGGACTTGGTCACCAATGGCAAGGTGCACAATGTCACCAGGAAGTAATTCATATATTGACATTTTCTGTCTATATCCATTTCTTGTGACCTGAACGGAAATTTTCCTCTTTTCCTTGTCTAAATCCCTGAATTGTAATGATTGGCGATAATCACTTGTTGCTGTCACAAACACAACAAGTAAGATACTTGCAACAATTCCAAGACCATCATGAGCCCCCTTGGGCCATCCTTCAGTTGCAATGCCAACTAGCAGTGACACAATAGCACACACTGCAAGTATCATCAGAGTCATGTCTTGAAAGGCTTCCCAAACAAAAACCCAGAAACTTGTAGGTTCACTTTCAGTAAATTTGTTGATTCCATATATCTGCTGTCTCCTATTCAGCAACTCAGTGTCACTGTTAAGCCCCTCAGTGGTTGATGTAGAAAGCTTCTCTGCAATGCCATTAACACCACCATGATGTCTGAACTTCTTTACATCATGGCCTTCAACAATAGACCCCAATTCCTCGCCACAGATTTGAAAACCTTCAGCTTTAACTTCCTCTGGAACTTTGTAATCACTTAGTTGCACACCTGTGAATGTGATCACAGGCAGGTAAACATATTGACTCTTAATTATATGAGCTATAAGAACAATGCTGAAGAAACTTACCTTGGATAAATTGAAATGCTGCTTTGGAAACCAAGACTGCAACCCTTAGCTTCTCCTGCAGTAATAACAGAATGAGTCTTCGAGAAATAAAACATGGAGATGTCACACTCTACGTATTGAGGAGACCAGCATAATGATATTGTTTATGTTTTAAAAACGGAAAAAAAAAAAAAAAAAAAAAAAAAGGCATATGAACATGGGTTAAAACAAAATTATATGGTCCATGTATCATTTACTCATTACAATACTGCATAGAGTTGATAATTAATGCATTTTCTAATCATCGTGCCCTTTTATAATTAATGAAGCGAGATTAAAGTTGCTCAATAAGCCGAAGATCAGCAAACATACAAACTCTCGCGTCAAGCACATGCTTATAAAGTTACAACTTATAAGCACCAGTCTTGAATTTAGCTTTAAAAGAATGAAGAAGTCGAAGAAACAGGGGTCAAGGGAGGTAATGTGAGACTGGGGCATCAGCGTGTATTGGCATTTGGGCTAAATTTCTAGTTTTCGAAATTGCTGCTCTAACGTTTTTAATTAACTCCTTTTACCATTCAATATTTTTTTTTTTTACGTACAGGTATTAACTTGACTATGACTATCAATTTTCGCAATGTTAAAATAGTTATATTGTCAGCTTTTAAACCACTACGATAAATTATGCTCGTTAACAAAAAAAAAATGACTACGAAAACTGACTAGAGTCATATAGTATTCAGCGGAAGGAAAAAAAAAAAAAACTATTAGAAATACGAGGCTATGAAGGAAAGACATAGTCAACGAGTTCAACAAATGAGGAAAGAAGAGAAACATGAGCTAAAAATAGCTTTTATGTAGAACATGATTAAAGCATGGAAAATTTCTGGAATAAAAAAGGTACCTGATTGGTTCGACGCATGGCAGCGGCTTCGCCCCTCTTGTCGAGATTGGCAGTGAAACGAAAGCGTCTTGTGGGGTTCTTGACGAACCCGCATAGTTTCCTCCATCTTTGAAGAGCCTCTTCAGAAGAGTTTTTGGACTTCACTTCAAAGTTATCATTTAAATAACTCTCCATCATCCTTCAATCCAACAAGAATAACAACACACACTCCTTTGCTATGCTATGTTTCGCTGATGCCTTTGTTATCAAAAATATCCAATGACAAATGGAGTCTCAGACAGAGGTCATATAATGTTTGTTTCTAAATAACGAGTAATAGTAGTCTTTCTTTGAAAGTTACGCTGCAACTTTGAATAGCATTTCGTGGAAAGAGAGGAAGGTGGGTGGACCTGCCACTATGATATTTCTTGGACCTTTTCAGGACCTGACAAAATTTACTGTGGAGGTTATGGTTTTGAGTACACCAAAGCTTGTACTTCAGCAATGAATTCAGTAACGGTCATCTATACATCATATCAAAATGCCGTTATTTTGGTGGTTGTAACTCTTGTAGGGTTATTAATTATTAATATATAGAGAAACTTGTGTGCGACTGAAAAGAAATTACTGGTGGAGAATTTTATCAAGGACTTTAATTTTTGTAAACCAAACGCGGTATTCTTTATTGCGTTTTTTTTCTTTCACCGCGTTTCCTCTGAAATTGTTATAGTAATCATGCATCAAAAACGCGTGAACAGAAAGAGATAAAAAAAATAAAATAAATAAAAGAAAACGCGTCAATGACTGGGACCTTTTTTTTATTGGTCTGCCAATGACTCGGACCTCCCGGCCCACCTTAAAAGACATGGCCCGTCACCAAAGAGGAGTCTTTGACACGTTCAATTAGGCTTTATCAGTACGGCCGTGTAAAAACGAAATTTTAAATAATCAAAATCAAACACGCATCTTTGCCCTTTGCTTCATTAAAAGAAAATTTGATTCGATTCTTTTTTTATAATAGTGTATCTATAATAATATATAAAAGAAATATTATTTTTAATAATTACTTTTAATTTTCATTTTTATATAAATTATTTCATCTTTTATTTATTTTTTAATAACTATTTTATTTTATGAATAATTTTTCATTTTTCTTTATTTATTTATTTATTTATTTTTAATATAATGTAGACATGAAGTGTCTTTTTTTTATTAGTACTTATTAAACTGAATTATTTTATAAAAATAGTTGGTTATTTTTCATAAAACGACTGATTCAAAAAAAATTTATAATGATTTGGATTACTTCTTGAATAGTTTGCTTGCAAGAATATTTTGTTCACTGTTATCTTGATACTTTGAGAGATTTGTTTCGAGATTAATATTATATTTTTAAGAATTACTTTGTATGTTAATTGAAATATTATTCTCATATATATTTAAAAAATATATTTAGTTATATTTTTATATTTTTGAAATATTTTTAAATTTAAAAATAATTCAAATAAAAAATGATTAAAATCGTAAGTTGTAAGTGTGTTAAACCTAATTTTCTATATTCTCATGATAATATTATTTTTCGGCTCCTCTTAACACGAGGGCTTTTTGACCAAACTGGGGTTATTTTAAAAGTTTATTACGTAAATGGGACTGTTTTGAAAGTATTTACGCCTTTGGGGTTGTTTATAACGGTGTCGCTATGGGCCATAGCGACACCGGTAACACGTGGCATTTTTTTTAGTCTTGGTTGGGCTGGAATGAGCCACATAAGTGTCGCTATAAGCTGGGCCACCACAGTTGATGGACTAAAAAAAATAATGTAGCCCATAGCGACACTCTGTAAAGAAAAAAATAAAAAAAAATGAAAATAATAGAAATGTAAAATAAAAATAATAAACTGAAGTATTTATTATATATTTATAAAAAGAAAATTAAGTTTTATAAAAATGTAATTTTAAATTAAATTATATGTATTTTTTAAGAGAGGCACTATGGGCCATAGCGACATGGTGTCGCTATGGGCCATAGCGCCACACATTTTGTATTTTTTTTTTCAATAATGACATTTTATTTTTAATTTTGCGTTTTTATATTTATAATTAAAAGTACAGAAACCAAATAATTAAAATAAAATTATATTATAATATGTTAAATTTTAAAAAAATTGTGGAAAAAATAAGTAAATAAAATAAAAAATAAAATTATTTTATAAATATGTTAATTTTTTAAAAAACTGGGGAAAATTAATTATTTTTTAACTATTAAATAGGTGTCGCTATGGACAGCGACACCATTTATTATTTACTTTTTAAATATTAGCATTTCATTTAAAAAATTAATTTTAAATAATCACGTTTTATTTTTAATTTTCGTTTTTATATTTAAGTTAAAAGTATTGAAAGTAAATAATATAAATAAAATTATTTTATAAATATGTTAATTTTTGAAAAAACTGGGGAAAATTATTTATTGTTTAAGTGTATTAATAATAATTTTATAATTTACTTTAAAAAAATAGGGCGTAAAAAATGTAATTAAAAAAAATTAAAAAAATTAAAAAGTGGTGCCGCTATGGGCAGCGACACCACTTTTGTTTTATTTTTGTTTTTTAAATATTTACATATTAGTTTAATTTTCAGAAATATTTTTATTTATATATTTGTTTAATATAAATTTTATTTTATATATTTATGGTTCAATTAATTTTTTTTGTATGTATTAAATAATTGTGTAGTTTAAAGAAAATTTAGTATTTAAGTGTATTAATAATTTTTTTATATGTAAATTTAAAAAAAAACTGGGCAAAAAATAAGTGAAGGAAAAAAATGTACAAAAAAAAAATGAATTACAAAATAAATTTTAAAAAATAACTGGTAGAATAAATCTGGAGAAAAAATGACCCAATGACCAAAAAAACAAAAATTTTGAAAAAAAAAAACTGAGGTAGAAAAAAACGAAAAACTAAAAAAAAAGGGCTAATGTCACTATGGGCCATAGCGACTTTTTGTCGCTATAGCCCATAGCGACTTTAGGTAGGAAAAAAAACGAAAATTTTGAAAAAAAAAGAAGGCTGATGTCGCTATTGGCCATAGCGACATTGTGTCGCTATACCCCATAGCGACACCAGCCTTTTTTTTTCAAAATTTTTGTTTTTTTGGGTTATTAGGTCTTTTTCTTTCTCCAGATTTATTGTACTAGTTTTTTTTCTAAAAATTATTTTGTAATTCATTTTTTTGTGTTTTTTATTATTTCCATTTATATAAATAAATTTTGTTCCTAGAAAAAAATTATTTTTTTCATTTTTTATTATACACTATACACAATTTTTAAATAAAATATATCTGTTAAAAAATTATTATATACTCAACATTCTAGTAAATTATTTTACAAAAATTTATTTAATTCCAGTAAATTATTTTTTAAAATTATTAACTTAATTTCTTTTTTTCAAATTTTAATTTGTACTATCAATTTCATATAAATTTATATTTATAAATTTATTATTTCTGTAATTTCTTTATTTTATACATATTTTTTTTTCTTTTTTATCTATTTAAATATTTATAAAAGTGGTGCTATGGCCTATAGCGACACAGTGTCGCTATAGGCCATAACGCCACTATTTTTTACGTTTTTTTTTAATTATTAAAGAAATTAATTTTTCCCACATTTTAATTTATTTTATGAATATCATAAAAAAAAATAAATTAAGTAAATAATTAAAAGTGGCGTTATGGCCTATAGCGACACAGTGTCGCTATAGGCCATAGCGCCACTTTCACAAATTCTTTTTTTTATATTTATATTTTTTAAAATTATCTTTTTTATATTAAATATGAGGCGCTGTAGGCTATAGCGACTTCAATGAAGCTGTTTTGTGTCGCTATAGGCTGTAGCGACATTATTAATATGGCTTTCATGGCTTCGCTGAAGTTACAAAAATGCCACGTGTCACCAGTGTCGCTATGAGCCATAGCGACACCGTTAAAAAGTACCTCAAAGGTGTATATTGTTTAAAAACAACCCCATTTACGTAAATAAGTTTGGGAACTGCTCCAATATGGTCAATCACCCTAAAAAAAAAGTAACACTTTTATCGAAGTTTATAATTTGTTATATCGAGCCTTTTAAAATGGGACTTTCGATGTTAGGTGAAAGGTGCCCCCTGTAAACCAACATCCAATAAGTGAATCTCTCATGAAACCCTTTAAAACATTATCCCCTCTAAAACAAGTCTGTCTAGAACTAGTATTTCGCTCATGATCCTTCAAAATAGCATTAAAATCTTCCAAAAGACCCCAAGGTTCACTTGTATGTGAAGCTATACGACAAAGATCCCTTCAAAGATCAATCTTAAATTGGGAATGAGGGCTTGTGTAAACTATAATTAAGAACCATATATGTGAACCTTTTTTAACCTAAAGATGGATAAATTGGGATGATTGCGACAAAACCTCTAAGTGCCATTGATTAGAGTCCCAAAAACACCATAAACCTCCTACATGCTCCTAAGTATGAACCATATTATAGCTATCAAGATTAATTTTATGATATCAGTTGGACATAATTTTATCAAATACACTCAAACATACGTACAGTGGAAATGAGAGAAAAGGAAGAGGAGATTTTTCTAGATATGAAATTTCACTCAAAGGAAATAATTCTGCATACTTTGTTTTGCATACACTGCCTTTTATAGGCATTTACAATTTATAAAACTTAATTACTAAGTTACTTTTAGTATTCTTAACTTTGAAGCAAATTTAGACGGTGCAGCCATTGTGGAATAGTTAAAGTTCCAAGTCTGTGTTGCAGCCATTTAACATTACGGTGCAACCATTGTGGAATACTCAAATTCCAAGTCCAACATTACGGCTTGATTTAATTTTCTGACATTGCCTCCCTTAAATCAAGCTTGTATCATTCCAAGCATTCTTTTTAACTTATAAAATAACTCAGCTTTTAGTGGTTTTGTAAAAATATCTGCAACTTGTTCTTCAGTTGGACAATATTCAATTGCTACTTCTTTCTCAGCTATCAGTTCTCGGATTTTATGAAACCGAATATCTATGTGCTTGGACCGTCCATGAAATACTGGATTTCTGCATAATGCAATTGCTGACTTGTTATCACAAAATATCATTGTGGGAGTATCTTGCTTATGATGCATCACTTCAAGCATTCTTCTTAACCATACTGACTGAGTTGCACAACTAGCTGTTGCCATGTATTTTGCTTCGGCTGTTGAAAGGGCGACAACAGGTTGTTTCTTTGATGACCATGATATTGTACCACTTCCAAGATTGAATGCATATCCTGACGTGCTCTTTCTCATTTCTATATCTCCTGCCCAATCACTATCTGTATATCCAACAAGATTCACATCAATATCTTTATCATAGAAAATTCCTTCTGTCAGAGTACCTTTGATGTATCTGAGAATTCTTTTAGCTGCCTGCCAATGAGAATCTCGTGGCTTTTCCATGAATCTGCTGAGTAGTCCAACTCCATAGACAATATCTGGCCTGGTTGCAATTAAATATCTGAGACTTCCAATCAAACTTTTATAGAGAGTTGGATTGACTTTCTTGCCTTCAATGTCACTTGTCAGCTTCAACTTTCCTTCAACTGGCGTAGAAACTAGTTTTGAATTCTCCATCTTGAATTTTTTTAAAATGTCAGCAGCATACTTCTTTTGAGATATAAAAATTCCATCATCTTGCTGAATGACCTCAATGCCAAGAAAGTATGACATTAGACCCAAATCCGTCATTTCAAAACATTTAACCATAGCCTCCCTGAATTCTGCAAACATTTTTGGATTATTGCCAGTAAAAATTAGATCATCAACATAGAGGCACACAATAAAAATATTGTCAGGATGATCAACAGATTTGATATACAAAGTGTGTTCAAACGGGCATCTCTGAAAACCATTATCCACAAAGTAAGAATCAATCTTCTTATACCACGCCCTGGGTGCCTGCTTCAAACCATACAATGCCTTTTTCAATTTGTAGACTTTATCTTCTTTTCCTTTAACTTCATATCCTGCAGGTTGCTCAACATGTACTTCTTCTTCCAAAGTGCCATTCAGAAAAGCATATTTAACATCCATTTGATGAATTTTCCAATTATTTTGAGCTGATAGATATATAAGCATACGAATTGTATCTAGTCTTTCTACAGGAGCAAATACCTCAAAATAATCAATACCTATCTTTTGTTTATATCCTTTTGCTACCAACCTTGCTTTAAGGCGATCAATTTCTCCACTAGACTTGTACTTAGTTTTGTACACCCACTTTACTCCAATTGGCCTTTTGTCTGCTGGTAAGTCTGTCAGCTCCCATGTTTGATTCTTCTCAATGGCATGAATTTTTTCATCCATTGCTTTTCTTCAATGTTGATTATTTGAAGCTTCTTCAAAAGTTACAGGCTCACAATCTGCAAATAAGGCAAAATTGATAATTTCTTCATCAGATGGGTCATTATCATTACCCACAACATAATCCTCCAATCTGGCTGGTAGTCTTCTTTGCCTTTGTGGTCTACTTGATGCTTCTGGCTCATCAGGTGTTGGATCTATATTTCCATTCTCTTCGTCATAGTTTTCTGGGTTTACTACAGGCTCCTTTTGGGATTTGAAAGACCAACCCCACATTCCTTCTTCATCAAAGGTCACATCTCTGCTGATAATTACCTTTTTTGTCACTAGATTGTAAAGCTTATATGCCTTTGAGTTGGTGCTGTAACCAATGAAGATGCACTTCTCTCCTTTGTCATCAAGCTTCTTTCTGAGTTGATCTGGTACATGAGCATATGATACACCCAAAAATTTTGAGATGCCGGATTGAGGGCTTCCTTCCACTCCAAGCTTCTTCTGGTGTTTTATCACAAACACTCTTTGTTGGACACCTGTTCAAAATATACACAGCAGTAGAAACTGCTTCTGCCCAGAATTCTCTAGGCATTTGTTTTGCCTTTAGCATGCATCTCACCATATCCATGATTGTTCTGTTCTTCCTTTCTGCTACTCCATTTTGTTGAGGAGTGTATCTAGTTGTCATTTGATGCTGAATTCCATGGTGGTCAAAGAAATTTGCACAGGCAAGATATTCTTGGCCTCTATCTGTCCTTAATGCTTTAATCTTACAACCACTTTGTTTCTCCACAAATGCCTTAAATGACTTAAAGGCATCACAAGCTTCTGATTTCTGTTTCAAAAAATACACCCAAGCTTTTCTGCTAAAGTCATCAATAAAAGTAATGAAATACCTGCTACCGCCATGTGTTGGTATTTCAACCATGCATAAATCTGAATGAACTATCTCTAATAGCTTCTTTGCCCTCCAAGATACTCCGGTTGGGAATGATTCTCTATGCTTCTTTCCAATCTCACACGTCTCACAAACTCCATTAGGAATATTCACAATAGGCAAGCCAGAAACATATTCTTTTTTTGACAAATAATTTAATCCAGAGAAGTGAAAGTGTCCAAAGCGCATATGCCACAACCAATCATCATTGGGAATAATAGAACTCAAACAAAGAAAAGTGATAATGTCCAAAACGCATGTGCCACAGCCAATCATCATTTTGTATAATGGAACTCAAGCAAGGAATTTTATCGTGTTGAACATTCAAAGGGAATAGTCGATTAGAAGTCATTTTTACCTTGGCAATGAATCTCCTATTTTTGTCAATCAACATACAGTAGCCATCATAAATCTGCATGTTGTAGCCTTTCTCTGATAATTGTCCCATGCTCAACAGGTTATGATGAAGACCAGGAGCATAGAAAACATCAGAGATGAAATTTTGAGAACCGTCCTTCAATCTAATTGCAACTCGACCTTTTCCCAAAATCGGAATGTTAGAGTTATTTTCGAATTTCACAGTAGATTTTACTGTTTCATCTAGTGAGAAAAATAACTCCTTTTTCCCACACATGTGGTTGCTGCAGCCAGTATCTAGGTACCAAATATCTCCATCGCCTGAAAAATTATTTGCTACTAGAAGTAAGGTTTGTGGATTATCAGAACTCTCACCAGTATGCTTATATTGATTTTCTGCTATATTTGCTTGTTGTTGAATCTACAATCTGCAGCTCTGTGCCCGAACTTTCCACAGTGGTAGCAATTGAAGTTTGTCCTCTCCTGGCTGGTGAAACTGCCTCTTCCTCTTCCACGATTGGTAGATCTGACATTGTGTCCACCTCTTCCTTGATTAGGTGGCCTGAAATTGTTGTCTCTCCATTGTTGATTAAAATTACAATGACCTCTTCCTCTGAAACTACCACGACCTCTACTTCTGAAATTTATATTTCCACCTTCATGACCTCTACTGTCTTCACTTCGGCTGGGTTCTGCTATGTTGGTAAAATTCACCTGGCTTTTCAATGCTTCTTCATTAATTTGCTTTTTCAGTTTTCTCCAAGATTCTGCTCACATGGCTTTCAATGCTACCTTGCAATTCTGCAACTGTCATGATGTCTGTGTCGTGGGACTCAATTATTGTAGTCACCACATGATCAAACTTCATCGGCATGGTGCGTAGAATTTTCTCCACCACCTTGCTTTCAGGGATGTCTTCTCCATACACCCTCATCTTATTGACAAGATTTGTTACCCGTGAAAAATATTGTTCCCCGTGAAAAATATTGTTCCACTGTTTCTGAACTGGACATTTCATATCTTTCATATTCTCGAAGCATGGATTGCAGTTTAGATTTCTGAGCTTTCTCTACTCCTTTGTATGATAGCTTCAAAATATTCCACGCTTCTTTGGCAGTTTTGGCATTTGCAATTTTGCCAAAAATAGAATAATCTACTCCTTGGTGAATTTGTGACAGCGCCAATTGGTCTCTTCTTCTAGCAGTATCATCAGCTCCTTCTACTAATCTCGGTTCAACAAAGCTCCAAATGTTGTGAGCTCTTAAATGTGTGGCCATCAAAGTCTCCCAATAACTAAAATCTAATTTCCCATCTAACTTGGGACCAGACCAAATAATATTGTAACTGGTGGCCATATCTCTCTCTCAAAGATATAACAACTCTATTTTTTTTTTAACAAAGTGAGAACCCTTTTTGTTCCTCACTCAAATATTTTTTTCTTTTCACTCACACTATCACCGGACTCTCAGGCTCTGATACCAATTTGATATCAGTTGGACATAATTTTATCAAATACACTCAAACATACGTACAGTGGAAATGAGAGAAAAGGAAGAGGAGATTTTTCTAGATATGAAATTTCACTCAAAGGAAATTCTGCATACTTTGTTTTGCATACACTGCCTTTTATAGGCATTTACAATTTATAAAACTTAATTATTAAGTTACTTTTAGTATTCTTAACTTTGAAGCAAATTTAGACGGTGCAGCCATTGTGGAATAGTTAAAATTCCAAGTCTGTGTTGCAGCCATTTAACATTACGGTGCAGCCATTGTGGAATACTCAAATTCCAAGTCCAACATTACGGCTTGATTTAATTTTCTGATATTTTACATGCTATCTGATATGCTTTATTACCGCTTACATGTGTCTCTATGGGTAAAGCAAGCCCACCTCAAAATCCTTTATCATATCATTAACTAATTATGGTTGCTACTACCTCCTTGGTACCAAAACTTTGAGGAAGAATATCATTCATTCTTGTTTCATTGCACTAACCCTACTTGTGACCATATTTCCTGCGGTTACAACATATGCAATGTATCCTTTCATACTCCAATTTAATGATTAGCCCCATAACATTAATTTGAGAGACTATTTTCTTTGCTAGATTTATCTCACACAAATCCTAGCAAGTCTTCCACGGGAATGAATAGAATTTATTTTATCTACTTTCAATATGGTTTTGAGTTCACTCCCTACCCTTCAAAGAAAACAATCATTATATAACTCGATTGGGAGGCTCGAGATACATATTCATGATGCCACCATCCTAACTTGTTGAGTTGTGATCGTAAAGTTGGGTTGTCATCATTGAACAACGATATAATGGTCAATAAGCATCCACGGTCCCTTAAGAAGGCATGTTTATAATCTTTTTCAGTTGAGAGCTGATCTAAAATGTAGTCTTGTGACATATCCACAATACGAACAATCCCATATGACACACGTTTGCCGAAAATGTTTATCACCAAAGTATTCCACCATGGAGAGCGCCATTCTTCAAACTCTTCTTATGTCACATGGATATTCGAACATAGGTCAAGCTCATCTTCATCCTCCACCACTACTTATTTTCTCTTCAAGGCATGCTCTTTGATTTCTTTAATTCCTATACAAGAGTCTTAGAATTAGTGAAAACTTTTCTGCCTCCCATAGGTAAAAGACACAAGTCTGTTTTTGTTTTAGTATATATAAATAGCAGTATAAATTTGTACCCAAAAAATTATGTAATAGTGTAAATTACAGAACAATTTTTATTTTTATTTTTATTTTTTGATGATGCAATTACAACCTATAGAGAATTTTACTCAACAACCCTGATAAACTTAAAATTCTACAAATATATACAGAAGGGATCGCGAAACAGATTTTCAGCATTGTTGTTACCTCGAGCTATAATTTTAGTCTTTTTTTCCTGAAAAGGCTTCCGACCAATTCTTCAACTTAATTGCGAAAATTCTCGTTTAAACAACTCTCCATCACCTTCCAATATCAGTGTTTAATGTACTGGATCGGCATTGGAGACTTAGAAAGTGATGGAGAGTTATTTAAACAAGAAATTTAGCAACGAAGATAGAGAATATTGGAGCCGAAGATACTTGCACCATTGATCTCTATATGGCATCAATTTATATATGCAGATGCAGTACGTGGGAATTAAAACCAGTGTTAGCTAAGTTCGGAAATATATTATTTAGTTATATTGAATGGCACAAGCAGAAGTTTCCATACGCGTAGATGACTTGGACCGGTCAATGCAGGGAAGGTACTACCTGGAAGAAGGTCTCTATTATTCTAAATTCTTAATTATTTGTCATTAAGTTAATTTTAGTGATTCGTCTGTGTCTCGATTAAAATTATTTTCGATGGAACATACTTGTAAATTAAACATTAAAGTGTTATTGTGGATTTTCTTAATTTTTATTGTATTGATTCATCAAAAACCCATTATATCTCACCACCTGGTGTTTAAAAATTATTCATCTTTTAAAATGTTATTATATTTTTCACTAAAAGCAAGATTAAAAATAAATAAAAAAGTTTAGAGATTATGTTGTATTTTAATGAACTGATTTTATTAATTTAGAAAATTAATGTAATAACACCGCAATATTGGGAAACCAAGTAGATAATTTAATTTATAATTATACAATAAGATCCGACTGTAATAAAATTTACTTCAGTGACATAACTTTATGACTAACTAGATAACATAATGTAAAAAAATTTCACTCGCCAATCACTATAGGCTAATATTAAACAACGATTAATAATTCAGGACTAATAAATCAAAGTAAATTTTCTGCAAGAAAATATACAGTTGATATGAATGTTAATCATAGTTTTTTTTGTCAATCATTTGAATCACGTTCGTAGAATTGACGTCCATGTGCCTCCCAGGGACAAAAAGTTAAAGAGAAATGTTAACCATATTTTTTAACATGCTTTTTTAATATATTATACATTATTAATTAAAATTTAGAGAATTATGTGAATATTTAATAAAATCTACTTGTAATTTTTTTTAATAATTTAAAAGTACAAAATATATCATACTCCTCGTATTTAATAAATATTTATAATAATAATAACTTGTGGAACGAGGATTTCATTGATTTGAAGATTTGTATTAGCTGGAAATCAGATCAAAGAAAGAGCGAGCGCGGACATGATGGTCCCACGCATCCCTAAATCAACGGCCAAAAAAGCACGATCAGACACAACCAGTTCAACCATTCAGATTCGCGATTCTAAATTACATAATTCACATTTAAAATTAAAACGTGAAAAAAAGTTCGTCATTTCCTCGCCACACCCTGGTTCGTGAAGCACAGAGCATCAAGATCTCTCTCTCTCTCTCTCTCTCTCTCTCTCTATCTTTCTCTGTGTCTCTCATTCTCTCTGGTATCGAAAATGAGCAAAGGACCAGGTCTCTTCACCGATATCGGCAAAAAAGCCAAAGGTGAACGAACATGCTCTTTAACATTCTCCATTATTGATTCCACAGCACTTTATCGAAGCAAAAACAAATATAATTGACTAAAAGTTTCGATTTGTTATTGCTTATAGATCTTTTGACTAAGGACTACAACTCCGATCAGAAACTCACTGTTTCATCCTACAGCAGCGCCGGAGTGGTAAGCTCTTCGAATTTCTGTTATGATCAATCTATTTTTCGTTATATACATTAATTACGTTATTGTCTGCGAGGTCTAGTTGTTAAGATCTAGTGCGAGTGTATACGCGGCAATTAATTAATCGCATTATGTGGTTGTTGATGACCGTTGCTCGTTCCTTTAAAAGCTCCTTTTACATGTTGTATTGACTTGTTCTTTTTATACGAATCATGAAGTTGCATTCGAGAAATTATATATCTCGGGTTCGCTAATATTTATTTGTATTTTAAGCGTATGGCTCATTACATTGTTAGTACGTTAAGTTAGTCCTTGTTGTGTAGACAGATTCATCACTGCAAATTCAAAATTAATAAAAGGAAGTCGAGGCTATTTGATGCGCGGTTACTTGCTCTGAATTCTTCTGTCTGAATTTGTTTTGTGTCGATCTATTCATTCTGTGGATTTTTATTTTCGCTTACTGCTATTCATGACCACTATATCATAAGAACGGGGCATTGGTTTTCAAAATATGCAGTTTGATAAATAAGTCCCTATCAACTATCAACTAATTAAGTTCTTCTTACAGAAAACAACCTTTATTGTTGTAGTATTTTTTTTAATCAAAATACTAATTTATTGGATGGGGATTAAGGAATAGTACTGTATGAACAATACCTGGAGATTACAAAGAGATCGAGTGTGTAGAGCTTGTTGAATTGCATGTAGACTTGTGCAGAAGGGTTTTGATGTCACCTAGCATGACCTCGGGGCAAATCTAATGACGCAAGAAAATGGAATTATCCTTGGATATGTATTTGGAATTGGAAGTAGAAGAAATGCAGATCCAGATGCGAAATCTTGATAAAAAAATATTTTAAAAGGGGGTATTATCGGCAGTCATTGATCGCTGATAATTGATCAAAGTTATCTTGCTGATTATGCCATTTTCATGCCTTTTTGTACCGAGGTTATGAATTCTGATATATACTATTAAAGCTGATGAATTGTTTTTTACAGGTTGACATGATGACAACCTTTTTAGATATGTTCTAGGTGTTACAAACCATCAATTATCAAACAAGTTGTGCACCTTTGCCAATAAAGTATCCGGTGACTGGAAACACCACTTGGGTGCATTAGAAAGGTCATGAAAGAAAGGTTGATAATAGACTGCAGAGGTTGAGAGAAATTGTTTGATGCTTGAAATTTGATTTATGAGGATCTAATTGATTGAAAGTATATAATTAAAACTGAGATAATGTAAGATTGACTTCTTGAGTTAAGGTAAGGTAAGATCTGGATAGTCTGATAGAGGATATGGATTCAATGTCATGTGACCTAAATAGATAATGTAAGACTGACAAGGGGCACAGATGATCTATTATTGACTTCTCTTATTGATCCTTTTGGAATTTTAGCCTATTGCAAACTGCGTGCTTATTATCTGAGGATTTGGGTATAATCGATACCTGTTAATAGCAATGAAGGCTTTTCTTAAGTTGGGTTGTATCTGAATGCGAGTACTGTTAAGTTCAATAATTCATATATTTTATTGTTATCCTGTTTTTAGGATTACGAATACAAACTCATCATAATCAACAATAACATACTGTGCATGAATATGGACTTATTCTTAATGTAGTATTGCAGTGGGTTCATGTTGAAGCTGATGTTTTACATGAAAGTGACAACTGTTGACAATTATATATAGAGAGGATATCTATTTACAGTTGTATTGTTTATGTTCTTTATAAATTCTTGTCTTGCTACTGAAATCATGGTTGCTTTTGTAGTGTTATGTATGTGCACCAGCGCACGTGGTAATTTGCTAGGAGCAAAAGATGCATAATGTTCATTTTAACATTTCTTATTTTTGCTCCTTTCAGGCCATCACTTCAACGGCTCTGAAGAAAGGAGCACTCTCAACTGGGGATGTAGCAGCACTGTACAAGTATAAGAACACTATTATCGATGTTAAACTTGACACAGCATCAATTGTGGGTTACTTTGTCTTTTAAGGTTATATAGTGTTTGTTCTTGAGTAAGTCATCTTGTTAACTCACTCCTTTTCTCTTCCCAGATCTCCACAACCCTCACATTCACTGACATTCTTCCGTCCACGAAGACTATTGCTTCATTTAAACTTCCTGATTATAATTCTGGCAAGGTACATAAACTTGCATCTAGCTGGGAAATTCGGCTAACTGCTGGACATTGTTTCTGAAAATTTTGTCTGATTTGTTTGACAGTTAGAGGTCCAATACTTCCATGATCATGCTACCTTAGCGACAGCCGTTGCACTGAACCACTCAAATCCTGTCATTGATGTTTCTGCAACCGTTGGTACCCCAAGCATTGCTTTTGGTGCTGAGGCAGGCTATGACACTACATCTGGTGGTTTTACAAAATACACTGCTGGGATTAGTGTCACGAGACCTGATTCATCTGCTTCAATAATCCTGTAAGCTTTTTTAGCCATAAAAAATGTGTTAGAATTATCTAGCAATTGCTATCATGTTAAAAGCTAACAAATTTATATGTATTTCCCAATCAGTGGTGACAAGGGTGACAGCATTAAAGCATCATATGTCCATCATCTGGACCTATTGAAGAAGAGTGCTGCTGTTGCAGAGATCACTAGAAAGTTCTCAACAAATGACAACATTTTTACAGTAGGAGGGTCTTTTGCTGTTGACCATCTGACACAGGTCAAAGCAAGGCTCAACAACCGTGGAAGGCTTGGGGCCCTTCTGCAACATGAGATCATACCAAAGTCAGTGTTGACTATTTCCGGTGAGATTGACACCAAGGCCCTGGATAAAAAAGCCAAGTTTGGATTGGCCATTGCCCTCAAACCTTGAGGGTTTTTATTCATTTTTAGAAAAGTGATTCGAATTCCAAACTTCATTCAATTTTTTTGGTGGCCCTTGAAAGGAGGGGAAATAATTAAGCTCCACAGATGAGCATTTCTAGGCTCTTCATGAATTGATAAAATATTTCAATAACTTGGAATCCACGAGTGGCTTCTGTTTCCCAATTTTTATTGAATTTTCTGCTTTTCCTCCAACATTGTGCTACAAGATTTGGAGGTCCTGTTGTCTTGGAGGATTTTTATCCAGTGTCTTTTTCTTACAATTCTATTTTCGAGATTGTTTTCTGTCACTTGTTTACTTTCATACGTTTAGAATATTGTTAACCTCAGTTCTGTCAGTGAATTTGGTTCAAAAAGAGGGAGGGAGGAAAGAGTAACCCATTTGTTCTGTACAAGAAAAGTGAGAGGAGGGCAGGGGAAATATAATATATCTGTAGTTGTGCTCTTATAAATATTAACGAATAGGATGAGACATGAGAGTTAAAGATTTTACGATAATTTAGTCGGCATAATTTAAATATGAACGGATTCCCTTTAAATTCTCTCGCGACAAAAATAAGTGATTTTATCGCTCTCATTTCTCCTCCTGACTTCAAATTTTTCCTACTGAATGAGATAGTATAAATAAAATAAAATAAAATAAAAAACACCTTTCTTTTTTATTTCTTTCCCCTTTAACACAATGTTCATGACTTGAAGAATAGAAGGACCTTTGTGTTCCTTGACTTCTTAGGTTTCTTTATTAAACATACATAGTTTAGCATATATATATATATGCTAAACTATGTATATTTAATAACTTTGGGGTATGGGAATTCTGTAATAAATCGTTCATATAGGTAAAGAAATATCATCATGAAGTCAGTAGATGTTTTTTTTTTCCTAGTGTAACTAGTGGATCTTCTAGGGTTTTTCTATTCTCTTATTTCTTTTGATATATCATTTTATTTTTATTTTAAGTTAAATTTTAATATTTAAAAAATTATCAATAAGCATCTTTAGTTTCAGAATCTTTTAGATTCCTTATGCATTTTTTGAGTCTATATGTCATGCAAGATTTTAAAACTTTTTCTATTTTTCTAAACGATGGAAGAATCTAAATTGAATTTTTAATTAAAGTTATGTGAGTTTTACAATCAAACTATTTTCTTCCTCTATCGTTACAAGAACTTCTCGTGGATTCTTATATAAAAACTAGTTCTATACGTTGAAGTCATATCATTCCATTCCAATGGTAAAAATAAAAAATAAAAATCGGTTCTAGTTTTGAAAATAAATATCTATATAAGAACCTCTCATTAGAATTTATCTAAATAAAATAATCTTGTGTTATAATATAAATCATTTTTTATAAGTCTTATATTTATGTTTAAAAATATTTAATTATAAAATTAATGTTTAAAAATATTTAATTATGTATAATTTATAAACTCAAAAATATATATTGAATATAAATTTTCTCGAATAAAATAAAATTTTATCTGGTGCGTTCCATAAACTAAAATATTAATTACTCTAAAAATATTCAAAATAAAATAAAATTACAATTTCTCGCATGACTTTAAAATCAAATTAGATACTTCATTGCATATTATTTTAATGTTATAACATGGTATTAAAATGTAAGTAGAATTTGGTATTATATTACATATATGAGAATGTCTAAATTAGATAAAACTTGTCATACATAATTATCGGCTATACCAAAATTTCATTTATTTTATTTTTTAATTTTTAATTTTTTCAATCTAACCATTATATTAAAAAAAATTAAAAATTGTTTACAAAATTTTATATAATTAAATACCTAATTGCATATTTTTTAATTATATAATTGACGAAATATTTAATAACTTTGTTAACGATTAATTTTTATAACAAAAAATTAGTTAACCACTATTTTCTTTCTTTTTGGTAATTTAACCATCTTCAATATGGTACAATTTTAATTTTTTAATATTATATTTTAAAATAAATTTTAAAAACTATTTAATATTTTATTTTATTAATTTAAATTTGATGTAAAATACGAATTATTGAATATAATTAATTCAGGTATACTTATTTTTAAAGCAAATGAATACATATACATATACATATACATATA